GAATTGTGTAACCCTAGTTTTGTTATCCGAGCTAGGAAATGATGTGAATGTTTACAAGAGTGCTTTAAACCATTTAAACAATACAAATCAGGAGCAGAGCAAACACGGTTCTCTTAAACATCAGAGGTTGGAACAGGTGCCATGGAGTAGTGAGCATCCCCGCCGAACGGTCACCCAGCCGTGTGCTCCTTGGTGTGATCGGGAAGAACGGAAAAATCCGTAGACAATTTAGTGTGTAAATAATGGCTTAACTATTAGTATGAAAAACGTCAGTCAGCATTTGGCTTAATGAAAAATTGACAAGGTCATTGTATCGACCATAACGCTTGCGAAATGATGACTTCATATACTTGTTTCAACAACTTGATTGTCAATAGAAATTGTTCGTACATAGAGCATGCTCTTGCGTATCAAAAACTGAAAGAGATAAACCCCATATAAAGTAGATAAGGGTATGTTGCTACATAAGTAAGGGAATTTGACGTCTGAAAATATAAAGTCATCATGCTTATCATAATGTTTTGTTGTTAGGTTACCATTAACGTATTTTTCTTGTAAAATATCCGAATATGAAACGTATGTGTGAGTCTCTGTGTTATCTCAAGCTCACTCGGGTATATCGAGTCGACAAATGAATAGGAGTTATGAAATATATGGAAAGAACGAACAGTATTCAAGCTCAAAAGTCCATTAAACAAATTTTGAAGCAGAGCAAACACGGACCTCTAAAACATCAGAGGTGGGATCAGGTGCCGTGAAGGAGTGAGCATCCCTTGCCGACCGGTCACACCCGGCGTGTGCTCCTTGTCTTGATCTTGTAATAACGGAAAAATCCGCCAACAATTCAGTGTGTAAACAGTTTTAACTATTTTTAATTGATTATACGTCATCGATATGTCTAAATATCGGGTAAAACATTAACGAGTTTTGAAGATTCAACATTTTCTTCACCAAATAATGAATTTTCGGATAATGCTTAGGCTAAATAAAAAAATGGAATATAACTTCAAATTAATGTTTTTTAATAAGGTCAGATAAGATCTGTGGTTTATAAGGTTTTTATCATGTTCTATAAAATTTTACAAAATATATGCATATTGGGAAAAAAACACTTTAAAAAATCTTCCCCAGAACAGCAGAAGTATGTTAATTATCTTACTATTCAGCCTGATAATAAGGTGTGAATTCACATTTGATGAAGTCTTGACTCACAGAGTGGGGTCACAATATCTGGTCTTTTTCACATGGGATTATAGCGGAAATTATTTTGTAACTCTGAAGATGGACAGAAGGACCGATAAACGTGTACCTCAGATGAACGTTGTACCCATTTACCCCATGTTTAGTATCGTTATCCAGGAACTTGCCATGACCCAGTTTGCGACAGATATGTCCCTTTCAACTGTATTTCCTGACGAATTCTAAATGATATGAATCCAATAAAGAAGCACTTTTTGCGTAAATTTGTGTTGAAAAATTAAATGCTTTGTCGCTGTAGCCATCACGTAAACGTGACAAAACTGATCCACGCAAAGCACATGTATATAGTACAAACGAGTATACTACCCGCTCAGCTGTGATCATCACATTAAACTGCCTTATTTATTCATTTGTGCATTACATTCGGCCTGTTATGAAAGAGAATAAAAAATAGTGTTTATCTAATTTTGAACAGTCACGAATAAATGTAGACAAACTTTTATTTAAGCTTTGGGTTCTAACTACGGCGTAAATCAAAATCACATGTGTTTCTACATGTATTTCTCTCATTTCATAAGTAGTAATTTGTCATTCCTCAGTTTGTTTCTTTCTGTTTTGAACATATTTTATTGCTTAAATCAAAAGGATTAGAGACAAGTTCTAAAATAACTTACTAGTTCCTCTCCTTATATAATACAACATGTCATACAAATTAGAGAAAAGTAATACAAATGATACAAATAAAGTTTAGCATATCAACTAGGAAAATCTACATGTTTCATCAATAAATTTATGAACAGCAGCAAAAATACCGTTATTTATCTTTCTCAAAGACAAACGCAGGACGACCTTGATTGTCTAAAAAGTACAACCTTTATAATATTCATACACTTATAAAAATTTTTAAATTTTAAATTCCTTTTCAATCTCTTTCTTTTAATAGAAGTAAAATTATTAAGAACAAGATGTGTTTGTGAAGCACTGATGCTCCCGTATGGCAGCTTATGGCGAAGGTTAAAGTTTCTCAAATGCAAGTCAAAGTCCAGATCAAGAGATCAAAAATGTTGGTACCCGAAGAAAGGTCTTGTCTCGAGGAAAAAACTTGTGAAATTTGAAAGCCCTAGCTCCAACTGTTCAAAAGTTATGGCGAAGGTTAAAGTTTTTTAAAAGTAAGTAAAATGTCAAGGTCAAATGGGGCGCCAAGGGAAGGTCTTGTCACAAGTGTTAGACATGTTCGTGAAATGTGAAAGCCCTAGAGCCAAACGTTCATATGTTATGGCCAAGGTTAAAGTTTTCTTTTTAAAAGTAGGTCAAACTTCAAGGTCAATGCCAAAATTGTTGGTATCCAATGGAAAGTCTTGTCCCAAGAAATGCACATGTGAAGTATGAAAGCCATAGCACCAAATGTTTAAAAGGTATAGCCAAGATTAAAGTTTTTCAAAAGTAGGTCAAACTCCAAGGTCAAGGTCAAAGGGTCAAAGTTGTTGGTATCCGAACGAAGGTCTTGTCACAAGAATTACATATGTGAAGTATGAAAGCCTAAGCACCAACCACTCAAAAGTTATGGCCAAGGTTAAAGTTTTTCAAAACTAGGTCAAACTCCTAGGTCAAGGTCAAAGGGTAAAAGTGGTTGGTATCCAAAGAATGGTCTTGTCACAAGGATTACATATGTGAAGTATGAAAGCTCTAGTTTCAAACGTTCAAAAGTTATGGCCAAGGTTAAAGTTTTTCAAAAGTAAGTGAAACTCCAAGGTTAAGGCAAAGAGGTCAAAGTGGTTGATATCCAAAGAAAGGCCTTGGCACAAGGAATACACTTGTGAAGTTTGAAATCCGAAGCACCAACTTTTCAAAAGTAAATGGCCAAGGTTAAAGTTTCATAAAATTTTGCAAAAGTGGGTCAAACTCCAAGGTCAAAAGGTCTTGTCACAAGGAATACACATGTGAAATATGAAATTCATAGCTCCAACCAATCAAAAGTTATGGGGAAGGTTAAAGTTTTTGCGGACAAACAGACAGACAGACAGACAGACAGACGGACAGACACTGCAAAAACTATATACCCCCGAATCTTCGATACGGGGGCATAAAATTAATTTTGCATACATTTCCTCGTTTCCATCGCCTAGGGGATGTCTACTCCTCCTAAGCATCTGATCCTCCCTCTTGAATTTCCAGGGTCTGTGTTGTATGTCCTGTTCACAGAAATCAACTGTTTGTTACAATTATCAATGTATAACCTTTTTCATATGAAAGAAATCAGATCTACTTCAAATTTTGATTTACATATTAAAGCTTATATAGTTACGTAGAATTTGTCTGTTAGTGAGAGGTAATATATTACAAAGGTGCTAGATGCATTTTACACCATTTTAAGAAACAAAACATGCAAACATGTGCAGACATATATGATTGATAAATGGGAGGCTATCTTTCAATTAAGTGTTTTGAAGGGTATTTGTTGATAAATTTCTTAAGCAGAAAAATACGAGAAGCATGTATATTATGATTAAAGTGAAGATAACGAACAGTTAACAAACTCATAATCCCTTAAAGAATACGGATTGTGAGCAAGGCAAAAACAAGGGCCAATGGAAACATGGAGGTGGGATCAGATGCCGCGGAGGAGTGAGCATCCTCTGCCGAAAAGTTAATTGTACACAGAACGTACTCTTGAGTATCGAATCCATTGGAAGAAATAAACACCATACGCAGGTGATTGTGGAATAACTCTACTTAAACTGGGAAAAATTGAGGATGGAAAGGTGAAGTTATCTCGATTGTCATATAGTTTATCTGTTAGTTGTCCATTATAGTCTACAGTCAGTAAACTATACAAGTATGAAACAAATGTAGCAGGCTATATGGTGTTTTTTATTTCGAGTTCACTAGGATATGTCGAGTTGATATATGAATGAAAGGAATCATTGGTAATTGACAAAACAACGTCGACATATAATTGAAAGCGACAGCAATAAGTTCTCCCTCTCATGTATAAGTGTGTACTTATTACTGCCATTGTTGAAGATATTTTAGATGCTCTTTACACCAGTATACAAGTATTAAGGGGTAAATTTTTAGGCATTTTAAAAAAGAACTAAACATCCAAAATCTGTAATTATATTCATCTTTTTAAATGCGTGATACTTATCAGTTTTTCGTCTCAAGAAATAGTTTTATCTAATAAACTCATTTATTTGTCAGATCACATCACAAAAGAAATTAAAAGGGATAATGTAACGTTACATAAAATTAAGTATCACAAACTTCTCTGTTAAAGATGAATTTTGATACTTGTCTTGAACTGTTTAAATGATATAATTACTGATTAATTTGTTAATTTAAATAAAATATTAATTTTTAAACGTCTCAAGGATTCTTTCTTTAATGAACTGTGACAGAACATAATCGGACGTGATATCCTTTATCATATTTATATTTACTTCATATGAAAAAATTTTAATGCTGTAATACACTGTTAATACGTAAAACTTCCTATGGCATATTCTGACGCTTAATCTTCAACTTTCTCCACTATATAATAAGTAGCCAGTGAACTACTTGAATCTTTTTAATCAGTACTTTATGGACACTTATTTCTCGTAGGCACCTGATCCCACCTCTGGGATTTTCAGGGGTCCGTGTTTTATTGTCTTTTTCATAGATTTGTATTGTTTGTAGGTTTTTGAGATCGATCACTGTTCGTTATCTTCATCTATTTCGTATATGTAAGCTAGTCCATAATTGTGCTATTTTATAGTCGTTTTCACGTCTTAAAGTTTGATTTTCCTTCTTCTTACCAGATCTGTATTGTAACAGTACGTGGGATGAAATCACGTGTTGGCCAGATACAGCGCCTAATAAAACAGTTTATATACAGTGTGCCAACTATATAAATGGATTCTATGTCAATAGTAAGTATTCTGTAACATTAACAACAAAGAATTTCATCTAATATAATAGACTTCTTTCAATGGTCTAACAACGTCATGTGAGGTATCTGAAAGCTATGAATGAATTATTTAAACCTGAATACATTATACTAACACTATAAAAAAAGCAGAAAATCTGAAAATTTATATTTGATAAGAAACATTCAACTGAAATACATCCCATCGCGAGGCCATATGTTTATACATGTGTAAAGTGGACTTCAAGAAGATAATCCTAAAGTTTACTTAGAGGTCCAATCAAGCAAATCAGATATAATTACTTTTTTGTTATAAAATTAATGATTGTTCAAACTGAGTTTTGTAGGTATGTATGAATCCCCTTTTCCACCTCAATACCTCTAGTAAACCTTCTGAAGGGAACATCAGTACGGATAGTTTCAGTAATTCTGTGAGAAGGCCTTTTTTCTTCTTCTGAGATGTACACACAGATGTGGCTAGTCATCACTTAACTTTATAAAAGAAGAAGAATTTGATCGAAGAAAAAATTGATAAGGGATTTGAAATTGATTTTCCTTGTCCTTTAATTAACAGGATATTATAGCCAGTAAATGAGACAAGGGATCATTTAATAAATATTTTCTCATTTTCTTGTTATCCATTAAAGCATGTGATAATTGTTTCCTAGTTGACAGGGTAACAAGTATTTGCTTATGGGTAGGGTATAGGGTTATGTACCAAAGATATGTGCATTGCTTGACGTCATAAATGCATTTTAAACTGATTGGGTTACCTTGAAAATAAAAGCATTAGAGATATGCAATGCAGAAAAGTTTTCATCAATAAAATGATTTCTGTTTAAATCTGATCAAGAAATAGGAAAGCCCTTTCTGACCAAATCGACTTGCGATTGTAAATAATAAGGATTGAATACAGTGCTTCATCTGTTTTTCTTTTTTGTAAAATTTTTCGTGTCCTGAAGCGTTCTCCTTATCTTTCAAGTACTTGAATCAAGTATTTTCAAGCAATTTTGTTCTTAACAAAGCCCACTGAAAACTATTGTTTACATTCTCCGATTAGACTTTTAAACAATTTACTTTCCGTGAAAGTTAAGTATTTCCTTTAATGGATAAATATTTTCAGAAACCTTTATATCTGCTTTTTCGATATTTTTTTCTTTGTTTTGTATTTTTTTTTTTAGATTTTGCTTCAAAGAGATGTATGCCGGACGGTCAATGGTACACCCATCCAACTCACAATCGATCCTGGACGAATTATACTCAGTGTTTTAATAAACGCACCGTCACTAATGATCCGAGGGTTGGAACTCTTGTTCAGGTAGCAATCCATGTAACAGACTAACGTCACACTATAAACTAGTCCCTCAGATACACTCATAGGTTATGACTAATATCACAAATAAACTCGAATTATAAATAAAATAAAAATCAAAATTACACTTTATATGGCAAATTCAAATAAGATATATAATGTAATATCATTATAAAAAGTAATACATTCACATTTGATATTAAGTTTCACATTTAGAGTCAAATGTTTTCTTACATTTTAGTCACACTAATAGAGTCTCATGTTATACATTACCCTAAAAATACATTTGCATATTGTGGACTAGTCTACTAAAGACATTCAAATATTATACATAAACGTCTTCTTACAAGTAAATTCATATGGTGTTTATGTCTCCTAACTGATTCGATACGCAAGAGTCTGCTATGAGTTCGATAAATTTTTAAACCGAGGAAGGCTACTGCCAACTAAGTCGATGTTGCAAGGATTTAAACAACCCCGCTTTTAACAACTTAGCTATTGGCAGATTATATAGTCGTTATAATGACTTTGATTGTAAATACACAAACTGTCGTTTGGTCTGAAATGTTTCATGCCATTTGTTAGCTTTAGGCTTGCTTTTATATTAAAATTGACTACGTAGCACTCAGTATACCTGATCAATACATTGGGTTCACGGCGGATGTGACCTGTCAACAGGGGATGCTTACTCCTCCTAGGCACCTAATCCCACCTCTGGTGTTTCCTGGGGCCCGTTTTTGCCTTGTTCACGATTTGTTTTGTTTACTATTGAACACTGTTCGTTATTTTCACCTTTTACATTATAGACTGATCTCAAACATACACGCACATGCATGTTATAAACAAGTTTTAAAAACTCCTAAATGCATGTTATAGACTATTCTTAAAATACACACAGATATATACATGTTACAGATTTGCCTAACAAATTGTTCCCATACACTCTATACACTCTACAAATATTTAATCTTACAAATGCTTACATGTACGTTCACTTTAATTTTATAGACAATTCTCGTAATTATGTTCGTGTTCATTTTATAAATAAGACTTAGAAGTACACTTGGGAACTTTTTTCCTATATATTTTTTTTAATAAGTTACCGTAGGGGTTGCTTTGACCTTTATTGATTCAATTTGAAATGAATGCATAACATTCATTTTCCAAATATGTTTTACAGTATGTCATTAATTTGTTCTTCCAAGGATTAATTGTTCATTTTATTTTAGTTTCTAGGGCGGGGTGGTGGGTGGAAGGCATATTACACAGAAATAAATACGTTTCATTATTTTTTTAAAGATTATTTTGACTTTAGTTGGGAATAAATGAATTACTTACCACTCTTTTATATTGTAGACACATATGGAACACATTCGTCTGATGTACAATATAGGATATGGCTTGTCATTTGCAACACTCTCTGTCGCTGTCTTCATTATGGTCTATTTCAAGTAAGATTCAACTTCAAATTCAAGTGAAACATCAATAATTCAATGTACAATCATCTTAATCATCTTTGCCAGATGCTGGGTATTGGTTCGAGATTTCAGCTACTATTACATATATATAAAAATCAAAAGGTATTTACTAATAATATTACTAAGATGGACATTTCATGCCTCACCTTTTCACACTTTAGAGGTGTATCGTGATAACTGTAATGTGAAAATACTTCTTGATTGATTAAATTAAAAGTCAATTCCCTGGAAGAAACTCTATTTTTTTTAATTGAGGTTCACTGACCCTCTGTTAAGAGAAATAACTCTCACTGGAATAGACAATTCTTTTTAAAAAAATTGCCGGGCTTAAAGGTCATTCGGTTTCTTTTAAATTTTGCCCAACAAGGTATACTTATTTCGCATTTTAACTATAAATTATATTTCATTTTGAGAATATTATGCATCCGAGCAAAATTTTTCATGAATGATCAGAGGAATGATGAATCTCAAATCAAGACGGCTTCCAACTTAATTTGCAATTGGGGAACCTTTTAATTCAATTTGACATATCAGACACATACGTACTTGTATTGCAGAATCAGCTGATAAAATTACAGAGCTTGCATTAAAAAAATTATACGGCATATTTATTGATTCTGTACAAATTACCACTCCAACGTAAAATCATGTGATTTTTTCTGTATTTCCGAACCAAAGTAATCTTTTAACCAGATTTGGGACTCTCCAATTATTTTTTAATCAATGTCTAATCCGTTAGAGAGGAATTTTGTTTAATAGTCACCATGGTATCTATTACCTTGATGTCAGCAAAACAAAAGAGAGCTCGCTAGACACAAAAGTGGGCAAATCAAACGTTATTGTTATAAAGCAGGATGGAATATGGAGCTGCCATACATTATTTTTTTTTTTACAAACAAATCTCAAATAATGGTAAATTAACAACAAAAGATGGACTGTGTGAATTAATTTGCCAACATCAAAACATCTGTAGCAATCAAAGAGAGTTAATAACAAGGTGGGATTTCTTTCTTTTTTGTAAATCAAGAAGACATTATTCAGACGAAAGGCTTACATGCATTTAGTTGTGGACTCACAGGTACACGGTTCATTAAAGGCATTCAAAAGGATTTGATTTGAGCTTCTTAACATATAAATCATATACGATAAAAAAACCCAGTTCAGTGCCTTTATTCTAAACATTGTATTTGTAGCAGGCTTTTTTCGTAGACGTATTTTAGACGAAAAACAATAGTTAATATAAATTTGTAGTGCAATAAATTTATTGAAAGTTATAAAATGATTAGGTATATAACGGTTAATATAAGAGGGTAAGATGAAGTTTAGAGATCGGGAAAATAAGTCTATTAGAAGCAAAACCTATGAATACAGTTAAATACAAGCAATCACAATCACACATAGTAACTATGTGTATAATTACCTAGCATGGGAATATATATAATATATATATACAAACTCAGATTTTAACTGATATGATTTTATAAACAACATGTATGCTTAATTGTTAAGTATAGTTATTAGTCTAATGAGCACTGGTGTTGTTGCAATGAATATACCTATTAATACAATAGATATGTGCATTGGTACAATAATAATACATATTGCTACAGTAGATATAGATACTGGTACAAAAAGTATATTGTATTTGGTACGAAAGGAATAGATGCCCCTACAATAAGTACTGTTAGAACAATTTTGTGACCTCATTTTTTCTTTAACCTGGTCCAGCAGATTTCTTATTGTCCCGCACTCCGTCCAATAAGTTACCTGTAGGTATCCAATAAGATTCAACTAATTGGAAAGCTACAGGTAACATTGAAAAATAAACAAAGGGCGACGCAGATAAATAATCAGCACAGAAAGAACTTTGATAAATCAAACAATTTAGTATATGAGCAATGTAGAAATTATAAATATTTCACAAAATAATCCTTTGCAAATTTGCATGAATAATCCACGGTGAAAATGTCTCAAAGGAAATGTAAAGGAATCCGTGACACCGATCTTTATATCCATTAATTCACCGTTCATTACTCACTATTTCACATTGTTTGATTCACGGAACATTCTCAGAAGTGTGGACACAAAAGAAGAAAAAAATGTATGTATTTCCTTACATACATCCTTGGGCTTTTTTGCTTACTTGAACATCCATTTTCCTTCCTTTAACTATTCCGTTCACCAAATTTTGACTGATTCTTAGAAAAAAAATCAAGCTTCAAGAATGGTTGTAGTAAAATTCTTGAAATCCTGGGTCCGCCGTCATAAAACATACTTAAGTCTGAGAATGTTCTCAAGTCTGAGAATTTTTTTGAGAATTCTCAAAGTTTTATGACGGCGGACCTTGTTGTTTTCACAATCGAGAAACTGTTTCTTGCAAACTCGGAAATATAAGAATATCTCCGGATATCACGATAGAAAACTTCATGCTTTAGCTTGCGTTTTGCTGTTCTTCATAACATTGTCATAAATATATAAATCTGAAAAAGTCGTTGTTTTAAAATATACAACCTCATCCATAGTGTTGCGTTGTAAAATGAATAAATTGTCAAGAATTTAATAGAACTAACTTTAAAGCATGCGTAGTATATATATAGGATCCCATGTTTAATACTTCACAACCAATGTTTTACACTGTTTTATATAGGACTCCACTTTATTTTACTTCATCGCGCTAACGCAAAAACCATTGTGACGTCACAACTGTGGATTATGAAAAATTTATCCAATGAGTCAAATCCACGGGATAAAGGGGTAAACATGGGATAAATCTAAATATATTGCAATGCGGATAAATAAGACTAAACAAAATTAGTGTTCATATTTATAATTAAAACATTTTTGTGACGCCATCTTTTGTTAAACCTGGTTCATTAAATGTCTTATTGTCCTGCACTCCGTCCAATAAGTTACCTGTAGGTGTCCAATAAGATTCAACTTATTGGACAGGTACAGGTAACATTCAAATGAGAACAAAGGGCAACAAATAAATAAACAGCACTGAAAAGGCAATGGTAAATCAAACAATTTAATATGAACAATGTAGGAAATTAATAGCGTAAAATGTAAATATTTCACAAAAAAATCTATTGGAAACGGCACATATAATCCACAGTGAATTGAATGTCTCACATGCTCCTATTTTGTATTGTTTGATGGACTTTTGAGCCTGAATACTGTTCGATATTTCATTCATGATTGTAGAAGAATCCGTGGCCCCGGTCATAAATTTCCTAAATTCACCTTTCATTACTAGATTCATGTCACAATGATTGATACACGGAACATTCACAGAATCTTGGGGACACAACAGAAGAATCAGTTATCCATAACCTTGGACTTTTTTGCTTATTTAAACATCTATTTTTCCGCCTTTAACTATTCCGCTCACGAAATTTCAACTGATTCTGTATTTTCGTTCGGTGATTTATGACCATTTGTCCATCTTGTCCCGCGTTGTTTGAGCGAGTGTCTGTCGTTACTTTAAGGAGTGGGCTGGAGTAAAATCCTTCCGAGTTTAATAGAGAAACTGTTTGTTGCATTTTGAAGAAAAAAAATACATCAGAAATAATCTCCCAATTTCACAGAAAATGCTTAAAGAATGGTTGGAGTAAAATCCTTTAAATCCTGTTGCTTTACAAAAATTACATGTAAATGAGAAACTGTTTCTTGCAAATTCCGAAATATAAGAATATATACGAATTTCACAGTAGAAAACTTGAACTTAAGTTTTCATTTTGGTGTTCTCAATTAATGGCATTGTCAAAACATCTGAATCTGAAGAAGTCTTTGTTTAAAATGTACGTCGTCATCCGTGGTTGTTGCGTTGTAAAATGAATAAATTGTCACGAATTTAATAGAACTAACTTTTACGCATGCGTAGCATATATCAAAATGTCGCAATGCGTTATCGATATATAACATGTCTCGATGATTCCTACTATTGAAAAAGTACAGAAGAAAAACCAAAACCAAAACTAGTTTTCTTTGTCCTAACTTAACGAACAGTGCCAGGTAAAGTAATCCAAGCTGAACGAGACCGGTTTACTTGTGGCTGTAAAATAAGTTAACAATGGAAGTGTTCGACATTGGTGAAATGTTTTAAGTACGTTATAAACCTCAAACTGACCATTATGTCCGATATTAGATTATGTCCGAGATTAGACTGTCTAATAGCTGACATAATGGACATTTTTAGGCTTATAACCATTACATATAAAACGGTGACTCAATGATTCCTACTATTTGGTTACTACAGTTATAAATTTAAAAACTCGTTTTCTTTGGCCTAATTTAATGAACAGCCCAGGTAAAGTCTCCAAAGCAGAACGAGACCAGTTTACCTGTAGGTGTCCAATAAGCTAACAATGGGAGTATTCGACATTGCTGAAATGTTTTAAGTAAGTTATAAGCCGAAAACTGACCATTATGTCAGATATTACACTTTCCTCGGCGCTAAAGCGCCTCGAGCCGTTTAATGTCTGACATATTGGACAGTTTTCGGCTTATAACCATTACATACTGCTTCACTAAGCATAGCACTGGTGCCATAAGTAAAGGTACTGGTTCAATGAGTACAGTTGACAGTACAGTAAGTATAAGACTAGTATGTAGTTTATTTATAGTGACATGCGTACATTCTCGGACATTATGTTAACAGGCAGATTAATTGAAAATGAATCGAACACCCGGACATCTGGCCTATATGCCACTTCGAACACACAATTTGAGTACAATACCTAAAGGAAAGAAAATTAGCACAGCGTTAAGCAAGTGATTTCAACAAAAAAACCACTCAAATATACATATTAAAAGAACAAACACGTTGTAAGTATACACTCTGTGTGCTAAGTATAGCAGTGTCCGTTATGAGATTTGACAATAAATATGGTCATTAAATTATAATTTACATTCTTATTTACTGAAAATAACTGAGTATCTGGGCATAAAGGAAGAATTAATACTTTGCAACCTGGCGAGGATAATTCGAAATTAACATACAGTATATATAATAAATCGGTACAGTAATTATAGGTACAGCTAGATCTCACTATCTCAAACTCAATTAATGGGACCGAGAAAAACTTCAAAATATCCGAGGGTTCGAGATATTGAGGGCAAAGAACTTAAAGAAAAAGTACTTTGGACTTCCAAATCAATTCGACTTTACCCATAGTATTCGAGATAACCGTGTTCGAGATACCGATGTTCATTACTTATACAATAAGTATTAGAACATATATTCATTTTGATTATGTGAATGTATAAATTTAAAGCTAAAATCTATTTCCAGCAGATCATCTTTCTCCTTAAATTTTAACATTGAATGTCATTTTCAAAAGTAACCAAGCCGTTGAAATCTAATATAAATATTTAGTCTCACTCGGCGTGGTATTTGAACAAGTAATTTAATAAAGACATTAACTGAAAAGGTGTTGTATATATTTCCAGTGTATAACAGTGAGCGAAATAACAATGCTATCTATGTTCGCTGGGATTACCGTGTGCAAATATCGTTTTCTCTGATTTAGACGCTTTCACTGGCGTAGTTTCTGTCACTACGTCCTTGCACATCATTAATGTGTGCCAAAAGGGAAGTGTCTTCCTTTTCATAAATAGGATAACAGATAAGTGAAATAACTGCAAAAACAGAAACCCTATCGAAGCAGTTTTAATGATGGTCGTGATTTCTAGTGAGAAAAGAAACAATAAAACTTGATGACAAAATCCGGGTCATGACAAGGAAACCAATAGGATCATTTGGGATTACATTCATTGATGGAATTAATTTATTAAGCATGACGTTTTCAACTCCACAATTTATTCCAGTAACACTTTATTTGATATTATAGTCATGTAAATTGTAGTGAATTGTAATCGCTATCCTTGGTTTATTTTACGTGAATCACAAAGAGAATTCTTTGACATCAGAACACACTTGATTACAAACATGATCAAAGGCCAAACTTGCATATGCTACAGGTTCTAATGAAATATCACAGTGTTTAAAATTCTGTAAACAATCCCAGAATATCGACATGTGCTATTCTCTTTTGTTAGCTAACAATTACTATATTTCCGTAGCATCTTAATTACTACTATGGAAACTTCAGACTCTTATTTGTTGTACAGATAGGTTTTTTCTTCATGTTGTAGACGTCTTCATTGTCCAAGAAACACAGTTCATCTCAATCTCTTTATTGCCTTCATGCTAAGGGCACTTATTTCTCTGCTAAAAGAAAACCTTCTGGTGCAAGGCCTGGGTCTGCCATTTGATGTTGAAGAAACACCATATGAAAGAGTAATATTCATTGAAGAAGGGCCGGTAGGTAGTTTTGATATAAAATCTAAAAAAATAAGTATTTTGAACATAACTTTTTTAAAAAATGCACATGTATACATGTACATGTACATTGCAACATATGGTTTAACATCCATTGATACAAAACTGGATGAAACCAATATACCAATTCCTGTAAAATGCGTGATTAAATGTTCAAATGTTTATTCCTTAATGGAATAATGTATGATTATCGTGTCTTATCCCTGTTGTGTTCTTAGCACATGCTGTAAATAAAATGATTAATGTTTATAATCGGCATTATGAGCAATTCGATTTAAAATCTATAGGTTCATGTAGTGGTGGCAAGTAAAACAGAGATATGATTTTAAAAAAATTACAAGAAAAGTTAAACAATTTAGATGTGTTCCAAATTCTACATTATATCGTTAAAAAAATTAGCTTTAAGCCCTCAATCAATCATCAAACTATTCTTAATCTTCAGGCTGATTATAATGATGGTACCTGTATTTCTTTTTGCAGCATTGGGAGTGTAAGATGCTGTTTACGGTGTTTCATTACGTTCTGATGGCTAGTTATATGTGGATATTTGTTGAAGGTCTACACTTACATACACTCATCATGGTGTCTGTCTTCTCCGAGCGGAGTAGTGTCAAGTGGTACCTCTGTATTGGATGGGGTGAGTGTAACCTCTGTTAAGGATTGAAAAGTGGTCCCTCTGTTTAAGACTGGGTAAGTGGTACCTCTGTATTGGATGGGGTGAGTGTAACCTCTGTTAAGGATTGGAAAAGTGGTCCCTCTAAGACTGGGTGAGTGGACCCTGAGTTTAAGATAGGGTAAGTGGTACCTCTATGTAGGGTTTGATATGTCTATGTGGTACATTTGTATATCATGGGATAAATTTTATCTCTGAATAGATTTGGTAGGAGGCAACTCTGTATTGGATGGACTAAGTGGTGCCACTGTATAAGATGGCATAACTTGTAGAAGTAAATTTGTATTGAATTAGGTAAGTGGCATCCCTGTTAAAGATCGGGTAACTGATACATCTGTAAAGGATAAAGTAAGTGTTACTTTGGTATAGGGTGGGTTAAGTAGTATATCTCTATATTAAATAGGGTAGGCGTGTATATGTTTAGAATGAGGTACTTTGTACTTCTGTATAGAATGGATGCCTCTGCAGGAAATTAAAATGTTACCTCAGTAAAAGGATGGGAAAGTGATACCTTTGTATTGGCTTGGATAAGTGGTACTTGTGTAAAGGATGGAGTGATACCTCTGTTTAGGATGGGGTACGTGCTAACTTCTGTATAGGACCGAGTAATTGATACTTTCATTTAGGATGGGAAATTAGTATTTCTTTATGGGATGGGGTAAGAGATAACTCTGTAATGGATGGGATGAATGGTATACCTCTGTACATATGTAGGGTGGGATAGGTGGTACCTCTTTATAGGATGACGTAAGTGGTACAATATGTACCTCTGTATAGGATGACGTAAGTGGTACATCTGAATAGGATGGAAAAGTGGTACCTCTATATAAGATGATAATTGGTTAAACCTTTGTTTAGGATGAGGTAAGTGGTACCTCTGAATAGGATGAAGTAAATAGTAACCCTGTAAAGGACATAGTAACCGTACAGAATGAGGTTAGTGGTACCTCTATATAGATTGTGGTGTACGAAGTTTATATTCTTAATCTCCTAATCATAAAAATGTACCATTGATGTCCATGGCTTCATTAGAAGAGCCATTTGAAAGGAAGAATTCCCCTTCCTTTCTATATGAAATTAGAACTTATTATCTGAATAAAAGATGCTTAATCAAGGGGATATTGAGGGACAAAAATTATTAGATTTTATGTGAATATCACAACGAACTAAATCTGGTTAACATTTTCTTATTTCAGTTGTACCCATCGTTTTTATCATTCCATGGATTATCATACGAGTACTCCTGGAGAATGTCTAGTAAGTGTTTACTACTTTTAATGCAGTAACAAGGCGTTTTCTTTTAAACTCTTGCAAAGTAATTAATTTTAGAACAAAATATGTCTTGTAATTACAATTCCTTCATTCTTATGGCAGTCTGAATATATAGATGACCTTTTCTATCAATTTTGATCCTATTTAATGTTTTACTGGGGGAAATTGTGATGTGACTTTGAATAATAATGATTTAACTATATATTTGGGATAAGTGTTCAATCCTAATTTGATAGTACAATCACTCCTATTCGCACTGTTATCATGTGTTCCTTATGAAACAGGAAGAAAATGTGAAGGAATTAAATACTGACGCATACATGTAACTTTAACATAAACAGACATTTGTAAACACTCTCTACGGGTTCATTTATAAATGTCTCTCAAATAGTCGGTATAACAATGATATATAAATAAACTTAATCTTAATCTATAATACAAAAGAAAAGTACTGTTATGTAACTGAATTATTACAACATTGCTTTTTCTATTAGAAGACATACAAAGAATTAGATAGTTATTTCCCATGCATCAATTCTCAACAAACAGCTCTCAAATTCCAATGTTTTTCTTTTACGTTGGACCCAGGTGCTCTAATATCAGAAGACATTATTGTTCTAAATAAAATTATCAGCTAATTTTTTCCTGTTGATTACTCAAATAATTGATGTTTGAGGTATTTTTTCAGACAAAATTGATGCATCAGTTAAAATAGAAACTATAACAACTACCTTATAAATATCACAGTCTGGTGCCTAAAACTAAATCCGTGTGCGTGATTGCTGCACATATATATTTTGAACAATTGTAACATGCATCATCAATTTATACGTTTTAATAAAACAATAATCGAAGATGATTGTAGTTGAGAAAAATAATGCAGTAATTTGAAACATTTTAAATTTTAGCTAGGACCTACATGTAAAGAGCGGCAAACTTCTTTTTTTCAGATAAAAATAAAATTTAGTGGCGGTACTTGTATAAAATTATATAAAACATCTTGTGTGATTGAAATTAACGCTAAATGAATATAAGCTATAAAACCAAAGCTAAGTTGGAATGTGGACAGCCCAAGATGAACATTTTACCCTAAGACTACTTTGTAAATGTAGAGATAGCTGTGAAAAACAAGGTTGATAAAAAACTGAAGATGATGAAGCAATCTTTAGATAATTATATTCTTGCTAGAATACTTTAATAAACTACATTTAGTGACATTCTTTGATTCTCATTTTTGCAAAATTTTCGACAAATTACAATACACAATATGTAATTGTTTTGATATCATTTTAAGATTTACATATATGTCAATACAAGGTAAGTACCACCTTCCTATCACATGCATTTAGTAGGTATTACATGGTACGTATTTCATGATTCATGCATATATTGCATAGTGCGTTTTACATATTTATTTATATATTCACAATACATGGTAGTATAACATGGTGTGTTTTACGTAGTTTATATTACATATTACATATTACATGATGCGTATAACTTTCTACATATATTACGTATTACATGGTGTGTAATAGATAGTTTTCATATGACATATTTTCTCTCCGAGTTATTTCCTTTGACTGCTATCTTGGTGGTCAACCTGGTAATTTTTCCTCTTTGTCTTACCAAATCTAAGAGGGTGTAGCAGATATATTTAGGGAAAAATCTTTATAGAATAACAATCATGAAATAAAGGAGGCTTTAATAAATGTATATTTTTCAGAAAAACAATGCTTCCTACCTCACAATGGCCAGTATAAAAAAGTTAAAGTTGGTTGAAAAATGAAGGAATATGAGCATGTTGACCTCCAATATGGCGGCCAACGGGAAATAACTCTTGCTAATTTGGGCCTACTGAAAACTATCTATACATAGTTCGTGACATTTCTTCTAAATGTCCCACCTCCTTTTCAGCTGTTGGAATACGAATCCCTCACCTGGGTATCGGTGGATCCTCCAAGCTCCCGTGGTGCTCGTTACCGTTGTACGTATTTTGGCATCATTTTAATTTACATTTAATTTTTATACGGAATTCAATCAAAGTATGACAACCTTAGTAATGGGGGGGGGGGGGGGGTAATCAGATCAAAAACACTCTGTTTTTTGATTGAAAATTTAATTTCAATTCAGACTTCCGATTCTTCTCTGTATTTGTTTTTATTGTTAATGACGGTATGTGAATTAGATTTATTTCTTACACTAGTGATATGCAGTAAAATTCTTTCATATTTTTTTCTTGATTTTAATTCTTTTTTACGTTCTCTTATTTGCAGATAAATTTCATATTTTTTATAAATATTCTACGTGCATTATTTACCAAAATGAAGACGCCGATTTCAAAGACAGCTAAAAGACATAAATACAGGTTAGTCTAGTTTACAATAAATCCGGTCAATTCGAATTAGGATTAAAAAAGATTTCCTAGATAATGATGCTTTACAAAAATAAATGATAACATTCCAATGTGGTTGCTCTTTAAGTTTGCTAAGTCAGAAAATTTTACAGGCGACTGGCGAAATCAACACTGGTGCTTATTCCATTATTTGGTGTCCATTACGTGGTGTTTTTGGGACTTCCGGATGAACATATCTCCCCGGAAGCAGAAGTTGTAAAGCTTTATTTCGAAATGTTTCTAAATTCTTTTCAGGTGAGAAATTTAGATAAATAAAAGATACATAAGCATAATATAAAAGGTTCAACATTGAAACACCTTCATGTTATTATTATATATTTTTAAGTATTTTTCCTGTTTAATGACTGTGAAATATATATGATACTTAAACATTTAGAAAAAAAATTAAACATAATTCTATAAGAAAATGAGTGATTAATTTATCCGGACCATTTAATTTTTTAGGGACTACTTGTGGCAATTTTATTTTGCTTTATGAACAATGAGGTAAGTATGACAACTAAATGGTTACATCATTTTAATGTACTAACATTAGCATTAACAGTAAAATCACTTTGAAAAATATTTTTTATGTGTACATGTATGTTTACAAAAAAAAAAAAAAAAAAAAAAAAAAAAATGAAATCTTTATATTTGACCTTTCTTATCATTAGATCTTGACATCTGCGTAAACAGTACAAGCCGTTTGGAGATTTATTTTTTTTTTATATCTATAAAACGATCAAGTCCAGTAATTAAATTCAGTGGTGTTTTTTTTCTTTTCGTTTAAAGGTTCAAATGGAAATCATGAAAAGATTATGTAACCGTGGACCATACTACAGATATAGAAGATATTATAGACATTCAAGTCAAGGCGGATCATTAAGGTGTATCTGTCAAAATAAAAATAGTCACCCACCAAATAGTTACCAATTAGACACTGCTAGGAGGTCCTCTGCGGATAATAGCAGCAGCCTGCTATTGCAATCAGCTAAATACCCGCCAGAGTCCTGTTATTGTATGTGGCAAGTGGATTCCAAAGGTCATCTTTGTAGAAATTTTGTGAAACATGATGACAAATTAAGACGAGCACAAAGCTGTTTGTAGCCTTTTGTTGTTAGTTACAAACTTTAGAAAATTTTATGTTTTATCTATTTTATGTTTTGTGTCACTTGTTGGAAAATTAAACACTATTTTTTTTTTACATTTCTGTCTCCATTGATTTATAGCCAGCAATTAACCAGTGAAGCAAAAACACTGGTGTATACAATGTACTGTGGAATCATCATTCTTCGTGGGGAACCAATGTTCGTGGATTTTGTGTGTCACCTAAGCCACGAATATACATCCCTACGAGCATTTATTTTATTTTGAAAACAATTGATTCATTGAATCCACTGTATAAGCGAGTAACCCACGATTTAACCCCCCCCCCCCAAAAAAAAAAAAAAAACACAAGTAAAATTTTGGTTGCCTAAGAATATTGACCCCCATGAATTAAAATGATTACACGGTAAGTATTGCATTTCATGTAAATTTAAGTAGACGTACAGAGGGCAAATGAGAATACCTACAGCCGGCACACATTGAAATGATAATAATGAAAGAAAAAGTGAGCAAGCTCACATACCCCACGCTCCCCCCATAACTCAAAAATGCAACACGTAATGAATGGCACAGTGCACTTTAAATACACAGTACATGAATAATTCAAAAAGGGGCATTACTTGCAAAAAATCATCACATCAAAACTCCTTGCATATAAGGACATTCAAATCTTTGTATGTTACAAATTTAATTGGGCTGAAGTTTCTAGATAAATAATGGAATCAAAATTTCTTGGTTATACATGTATATCTATACATTATGTCTGAAATACCTACAAAGTTTCAGGAAATTCAGTGCAGGAGTTATGCTGACAAACTGTTATTTAAATTCCTCATTGATTTCGATTTGTTAATGAGTGTAAGTCCATGTCCAACACATGACAACTTACACATTTAAATAATTGATGGTAACAAAATTATGATGTAGTCATAAGAATTTGTTTATATACTGTACTTATGAAATTATTTAAGGCAAAGCACCAATTTGAATGGGGGGGGGGGGGGGGTTAGAACTATCCAAGATTGTGTGTGTGAGGGTGTGTGTGTGTGTGTGTGTTAAATCATTAATATATTGATCTCAAAATCAATAGGGGTCTTTCAAGGTCATAAAATATTTCACATAAAATTTCATTACAAAAGCTAACTATAAAGCTGATTCCAGTGGATTTCCTTATTACCTAGCTGGAAAGTTTCTTCAATAATAGGCAAAACTCTTAAGGGAAAAATAAAGGAATTGGAATTTCCTGGTAATATGCACATCTGTACATTGTGTCCTAAATATCTGCAAAGTTTGACGAAATTCTGTGCAGCGGTTTACGAGGAGTTGCGCTGACAAAAAAACAGGACTGACGGACTGACTGACTGACGGACGGGTCAAAAACATTATACCTCACGCAACTTGTTGCGTGGGGTATAATAATTAGACGAGCTTGTTGCAAAGCTACAAATAAGTCTCCCGTCTAAATTTCAAGGAAATGAGATCGAGGTTGCAGTATGACCGGAAGTAACGTCATTTTTACAACTTTTAATTAATTCTCTAGCCGCTACTTGTCATTTTGAATAACTTTGCTTCTATGATGCTATACGAATTCGAAATCGGTAAGAAAAAAAAAATAATTAACAATAACTAGTGCAAAGTTCGTTGCAAAGCAACCAGTAGGTCTCCCAACGGACGACGTATGTCGAAAGTAAAGTGTTTAGAGTTTTTATTCTAAATAAATAAAAATAAAATTTAGGCAAATTACAAAAAAAAATAACATGAAAAATTGTTTCTTGACAAATTCCAGTTCGATCCAGACATTTCTGGACTTTAAGGCGTCACTTCCGGTTGAATTCATATAAGACAACTATGTAAATAATTGCAATTAGACGTGTTGCAGATACCCTGATAATTATAATGGTAACATTTATTGCGGGGATGCATTGACTACTGACTTGATACAAGGGTTAGTAGAAGCAGTGAAAGTTTTATATAAATCATCCACAACTCTGTATCAACAGAGGCCCAACTCAAAGAGGTGTTGGAAGATTTTTGAGCCTGAAATGAATATCATAACCTGTCCAATTGCCTTTGATTTTTTTGCTCCCCTCTTTATCAATGCTATATATCTAAACAATGAAATTGCTCGAGATGGATGCTTAACTAAATAAGCTGATACAAAAATTGCAAAAGCATCTAGTAATTGGGACAGGTTTGAATTTTTTTTACTCCTTATACTTGGGTTAGACCTGAGATACTCCATCTTCAAACACAACCTGATTTTGCTGCGTTAAGTTGGGTCATGAAAAAGAAGAATACCAAAATTAATGAACTGATTGTTGTAATTTTTTTCCTTTACGTTTTTTTTTTGGTCAAATGCACTGCGAAGGGGTGATACTGCACTGATAAATGGATTTGGCAAAATATCCAGAGGGTCAAATTGAACTGTACCTTTATTATTTTGAGCGGGAACAATTTCAGCAGGTTGCAAGGGAAGTAAAGGTGCTGCAGTGGATACAGTCTGACTCTGTGTCACAATCGGTGCCTGCTCCACGATGATGACTTCATGTTCAGCACCTGAATGAATTGCTTCGGCTACACGCTGCTTTTTTGGCCTAGAGGCAGAATTCTTAATCCTTTTCCCAGATTAAGGGTTCCTTGCCTTCGAAGATCTGGATGCACGAAGCATACTAATGTCTATTTGACAATAAATCACCAGATGATGATTGATTAATTCTTATAAAAATTTTATCTTCTACTTTATTCAAATTACGGAATGAAAAGGAATATTCTAGAAAACATGTGCACACAAGGAATTCAGAACGCCAAGTCCGATGACTTTCCAACCTAATAAGAAAAGGAGTTATTGGTCTTTGGATTTGAAATAAGCTGCACGAAATAACCAGGTTTAGCCACAGTAAAGTACACCACAGTGCTATCATCGCTACACACTGTACCTGGGTTTTAAAATGACAAGAAGACACATCATTTGCACAATGCGATTATTCTGGAAAAAGTTAAAAAGTATTATAGTCTCTGGGTCTTCTCTCAATTTTTTTTTTTGTTTTTAAAAATGTTTGTTCGTTTCTCTCAGTTTAATTGCACACAAATAACGCTTTAAAATCTTAGAAGGATGACCCTGAGATGGCAAATTTATATAAAACGTGTGAAAAAAAGCAACATTTTGTACTAAATGTCTCGTCTAGCCATATTTCAAGAAATATTTTGGCAAATCAAAACGTATCGGGATATTTCCTTTCCTTTTTGTGTATTACAAGAACCCGAATCATCAATAGAATGCTAAATTATCATGTGTCTCATCTATGAAATTTTCACTTTTCAAGTGCGTCCTGATTCCTGCCGAATCCAAATCAAAGGTGCTCTTGTTCTTTGTTAAAGCCTTTTTATGCCCCGGGATCGAAAGATCCCGGGGATATATTGTTTTTGTCCTGTCTGTCTGTTTGTCTGTTTATCTGTTTGTCCGTTTGTCTGTTTGTCTGTTTGTCTGTCTGCCTGTTGTCAACTTTAACCTTGCCCATAACTTTTGATTGGTTGGAGCTATGACTTTCATATTTCACATGTGCATTCCTTGTGACATGACCTTTCTTTGGGTACCATCATATTTGACCTTTTGACCTTGATCTTGGAGTTTGACCCACTTTGCAAAATTTTATGAGACTTTAACCTTGGCCATAACTTCTGAACAGTTGGTGCTTGGGGTTTCAACTTCACATGTGTATTCTTTGTGACAAGGCCTTCCTTTGGATGCCAACAACTTTGACCTTTTGACCTTGACCTTTGAGTTTGACCTACTTTTGAAAAACTTTAACCTTGGCCATAACTTTTGAACAGTTGGTGCTTGGGGTTTCAAACTTCACATGTGTATTTTTTGTGACAAGGCCTTCCTTTGGATACCAACAATTTTGACCTTGACCTTGGAGTTTCACCTACTTCTGAAAAAACTTTAACCTTGGCCATAACTTTTGAACAGTTGGTGCTTAGGGTTTCAAACTTCACATGTGTATTCCTTGTGACAAGACCTTCCTCTGGATTTCAACCACTTTGACCCTTTGACCTTGACCTAAGAGTTTGACCTACTTTTGAAAAACTTTAACCTTGGCCATAACTTTTGAATGGTTGGACCTAGGGCTTTCATACTTCACATATGTAATCCTTGCGACAAGACCTTCCTTAGGATACCAACCACCACTTTGACCTTTTGACCTTGACCTTGGAGTTTCACCTACTTTTGAAAAAGCTTAAACCTTGGCCATAACTTTTGAATTGTTGATGCTAGGGCTTTCATACTTCACATATGTAATACTTGTGACAAGACCTTCTTTCAATACCAACCACTTTGACCCTTTGACCTTGACCTAGGAGTTTGACCTACTTTTGAAAAACTTTAACCTTGGCCATAACTTTTGAGTAGTTGGTGCTAGGGCTTTCATACTTCACATATGTAATCCTTGTGACAAGATCTTCCTTTGGATACCAACCACTTTGACCTTGATCTTGACTTTTATTTAAAAAACTTTAACCTTCACCATTACTTTTGAACAGTTGTATCTAGGTCTTTCAAATTTTACAGGTGTATTCCTCGAGACAAGACCTTTCTTAGGGTATCAACATTTTTTTATCTTTTGGCCTGGATTTTGACTTGCATTTGAAGAAACTTTAACCTTCGCCATAAGCTGCCATCAGTGTTTCACAAACACATCTTGTTTCGAATTTAGAATTCCAACTTATATATACATATTCATAATATCATCAACAAATTTTACTTCTAAGAAAACAAGAGAGGCAACGACAAATTAGCAATGAAAGCTTTACCTTTTGTTCCAGTAAGGATTGGAAGCTAAACAAAATCTTGCTTGCAAAAAAAAAAAAAAGCCACTCATTTGATTAGAAATTTATTCAAGAAGTATTTAAGTAATTATGCTCCAAGAATATCCGAAATTTCTTTACATATATAGTGCAGGAAAAGAATTTTCGATATTTTTGTTGTGAAGGGGTTGTGTTTGTTTTCCAAATAAATATACATGTACCTCCAGATTTAAGATTGGATGAAATCTTATTGCTATACCAACATATTGT